TATATGTGCCATTTTATAAATCCCAATTCAGAAGTTAGTTTACTACTTCCCATCCACTGCAGATAATCGGGAGTCTGCTGTATTATGAAACATAATCATTACATATTACCAGACTTCTTCTGGACTGTCTCAGTCTTCTGGGTGAAGGTGAAAATGATAAATGATAAGTTTTTCTTATTGCTAGTGGGGTGGGACTAAGTCCCTTGTACTGCGGCCATTTCTGGCCTATTGTATCAGCCCCAGATGATAAGTGAGGGTGATTGTGGAGAAATTGGTGGAATGAAGATTTTCAAGGGAAACTGAAGTACTTGGAGAAAACCTGCCCCAGCGCCATATTGTCCACCACAAATCCCACTTCACCAGACCTGGGATCAAACCTGGGCCACCGCGGTGGGAAGCCAGCAACTAACCGCTTGAGGTATGGCGCGGCCTAAAATGGTAAGTTTTCCCTTCACTGAACTAAACGTCACGCCATGAAGATGTATGAGGAATGAGGGTATAATAAGTGTGTTCTCCTCCCTGCTAGTAGGTAAAGATTTTGTGGTCAGCTTCACTCCCTGGCTGCTTTACCCCCTGGAAAATAGTCTTTGGTATCCAGTTGATAGGAAGGTGTTTATGCTCATTCGTCATCAGGTACTGCTGCATTAGGCCCATTTCAGACTGCAGTACCACAGGGCTCAAGCTCACCCAGCTCTAAGAGCTCTTACGGTATATTCAAGATTTTCATTGCATTATACATCTCATCAAGAAATTTAGGAGTCCCAATAACCTGATTTTAAAATGGTTATAGTGATTACAGATCTGTGAAACTGCTTTTGTAACAGGTTTGATCCTTAAAAGGGTAGATTGATTTTATGTCTTCTAATTTTTTCTGTCATACTCATTGAATATTTCATCTCAAGATGGAATTTTCCATGGATAGCTTATTATGATGGAATCTATGCACAACTGTTTAGATTTTCTCTGGACATGTACCTAATTTTGAAACAAATTTACCCTGTCGTACCATGAAATAAGGTGCGTCACAAAGCTATGTAGGTTTATGGTGCCACAGTGATGTTTTTCATGGCAGGTCAGTCTTTCCAGGACTGTAGGGGGCTAGGGGGCTTGCCCAAGAATACAATACAGATTTTATGTGGGTTGAAAAGAAATAAAGTTAATAACAAGTTGAAACTTACTTTCACAGTACAAGCTGACTGCTTACTCCCTGTATGCTGCAGTCAGTGTTGGCCTCCAGACTCACGACATCATCGAATACCTGAAGAGATTGAGTAAGACAAGCATTCCAGACGGCATCGTGGAGTTCATCAAGCTCTGTACCCTGTCATATGGAAAGGTATGTGCTTAAGATTTAACTCTCACTCACTCACTCACTCACTCACTCACTCATGGAGCTGAGCCCTTCTGGAGAAGCTGCCAATTGTGCAGCTACTCAAGAACTTCCCAACATTTTATGGAACCCGAAGGTTCATTACCGTGTTCACAAGAGCCCTCCACTGGTCCCTATCCTGAGCCAGATCAATCCAGTCCATACCATCCCACCCTGTCTCTTTAAGAACCATTTTAATATTGTCCAGCCGCCTATGTCGTGGTCTTCCCAGTGGTCTCTTTCCTTCTGGCTTTCCCACCAATATCCTATATGCAGTTCTTGTCTCCCCCAATCGTGCTGCATGCTCTGCCCACCTCATCCTCCTTGGGTGAAGAGAGAGAGAGAGACTTAAGATTTAACTAGTGTATTAAAATTTTAATTAACTAATGAGTTGATTTATTTATTTACATATTTATTTATTTGTGGTTCATATAAGGATGGTGTCTGTAGCTCAGAATGTTTAGTGCCAAATCATATCTTGATTAGCGAATAATGAATTGTAAAGGATTTGAAAGGGAATGGTTGTGACATAATTTGAAGTACAAGTCCATCATTTTTCTGGGGGATTGTGGAAACCATGAAAGTTCTCAGTTGTGGTAGCCAGTATTTTGGCTGAGATCCGAATTCAGAACTTCATGAATACAGAGCAAGTGTGTTACCCATTTCACCTAGATGTTTGATATGCATGTAAATTAATTATATTGTGTAATGAAGTAACTTAACTCTGCTCAGTCCATGGCATGTCCTCACAATTTGTTTCCCTAAAATCTCTTTAGCATTATTCTGTTGTGTCCTCAGTTTTCGAGGTTACCATTACCAAAGAGATTTTCTCCCACAATAATTCTACAGTTATTTTCTGTTTCCCATATTTGAGCTCATTGTAACTTCCTATGGTAGATCACTACGTATGTTACATTGGAAAGAAATCAAACTTTGAATGAATGAATGAATGAATGAATGTATAACGGGTGGGCAATGTCGGCCCTTGCACCGTGACCTCCAGTGATGTATTGTGCTTAAATCAATCTTTACTTCATTTACACAGGTGAAACTTGTTTTGAAACATAATCAGTACTTTGTGGAGTCACCCCACCCTGAAGTCCTCCAGAAGATGTTAAAGGACCCTGTAATACAGCAGTGTAGGTTGAGGAGGAATGTTGATGATGCGGATGGCTCTGGAGAAAACCCAGATGGCTTCATTACTCAAGTTCAGGATAAGAAAGCTGTCCCTCAGGTGAGAAAGCTATAGGACAATGCAGTGTGTAATTTAAACAGATCGTGTTTAGATCGTGTGAACTGGTAACAGGTACTGAATGGAGAAGATCAGAGGTGTTGGGGCACTTGACTGGAATGGATCAAACGAGGTTGGCTAAGAAAATTTTCAACATACTTAAGATAGAAAGTAGAAGATGAATTGGAAGGCCTGAAGTGAAATGCTTGGAAGATGTAGAGAATTAGTTACAAGAGCTGAAATTGAAGAGACTGAGGGAAAAAGCAAATGGTAGTGGATAAGAATGGCCGTCTGTTGTAAAGGGGACCCAGGAATGTGTAAATTTTATGTGAGTCATAACGCTTCTTTACCCTTCTGGGATGTGCCCACATAGGCAAGGATGCAGAATTATTTTTGAGGTGAGATACCTGCAGAACAGATTCTCTTACTTCCAAGGATAGGTTGATCCTGAAAATGATGTTAAATATAACTGTTATTTTGGACCTTGTCCATTGTCTTGAATTCTTTCAAGCACAGTGTCTCGGAAACTGCATCTATTTCCTTCATCAGGAGTAAGAAAGGGAAGACAAGGATCAAACACAATGCTCAGAATGAGGGTTTATTGTTGTGCCCTAAGCCCATCAGGTTCTGTATTTTATGGTTTTTGTCATTACAAAAGGCTACCAACTCCATCCAGTGTGACTCACAAAAAGAGAAATTTGTTAGTCACACTTGATGGAGTTGGTAGCCATTTGTAATGTTGCTAGTGTGATGGACCAGGATGAACCATGTAGTGGCTCAAATTTGAGATTGGAAATTTAAGCCATTACCGAAATGTCTGGAGACTTACGAAAAGTGTTTCACAGCTATTACAGTAATCTGTCAACACCGGGGCAAGAACTAGGCTAAGAATGTTGAGAATCAGCATTCATACGTAACTGCACTGGCAAGAAGTTTGCCTCACTAGGCCACGGGAGTATCGTAATATTACCGCATACACAGCGATGAGACGCCATGGGCCCTCCCACAACCACCGATAATAACCAATTAGAACATAACTTTAGGAATTTAGAACACAAGGGAGGAGTAACTTCCCTCCTTTAACAACAGCTGAATTAGCAAATTAAAACTATAAATTACTGAATTTCGAGAGACTTGGGATTCTGATCTAACACAGAATATTGAGTTGTCAGCCGAAGGCTCTCTTCAACATGGGCCTTACGAGCGGAGGCAGTGGGCCTACATCTTTTACTTCCCGTAAGGTACGTTTACTCATATCAGCCATGTTGTTTAATAGTATTGGTGATAACAGTGTTGTTGAGTTATTTTAATGTGCAAACTCCAGTGTACCCAGTGAGCCCTTAGGGTAGGATACTAGGATCATGTAATTGCCTAGGATATTAGTCAGGCAATAAGTGTCTTATAGTGTATGTGTCAAGGTTATGGATAGCGTGTAGGAAAAATATAATATGTGGGTTTCAATAGGTATAACTAAGGGTAGATTAGGTTAAGAGTGAACTTTACGAAGGATAGAGAGAGAGACTCCAGTTACACCCCCGAAGGGGAGGTTCCTCGCGCAGCTTAAGGTAAATTCACTATGTAGTCCCGACTGCAAGTCGGCCTTGGTAATAATGTAAATATTGTAAATCGTGTGAATNTATTAATAACGTAACACGTGGCTACCTGTAAACTATGTGAGGAATGGTCAAGAAGGAGCTATGACTATATGTCAGGGGGTAGTCCCCACGATAGAAAGGACATATAAGAGATGGTAGCAGCTTTTTGAGAGAAGGAAACCCCGAACAGGAGAATCCTAGCTAAGGGTGAGCTAGGAGTATTGTGTTAACTCCTTACAGCATAAGCTGGGGTGGCAAGGAGGGGTACCTGCACACCCCCGTCGTCATGACGTTACAAGTGGTACCAACGGCGCGGCGTTACACGTGGAGGCGAGGAGGGATCACTCCACGCCCCCCCTACTTGCGGCATTACAAACCAAATCAAATTTTTTTGTCAATTCATGTCGGGTTAATATTCAAACAGAACATAACAGATTTCTTTAAATAAACTGCATTTAATTACCGATTTCTAAGATTTTTATCCTCTGTTCCTGATCCCAAGGAGTGACAGTTGTTCACACATTTATGATTTTAGTAAACGTAATCATATTCTGTTGGCAGGCGGAAATTAATTAACTTCTCACTTAACCAGGCAAGTTCTTAGTCAGAAATGGAGCTCTGGACTTAGACACTGAGGTTGTGATAATGTGCTGCCTACTCAGGGCTATTGCACATCTCCGGGGAACAGTGCTAGGTGAAATATGTGACTTTCTTTAAGGTAAATTTGTAGAATGTGAAATGACAGTACAGTGGCTCTCTGAAAGATCTCTTTGGCTTTAAGTTTGGTGTCAGTAACTGTCGAACCATTAGCGCTGAACGGTTGAAATTTGGGGTGGGGATAAATGATAGATTTATGAAGCTTATTTATTATATGTTCCATTTACATAATTCTGTATCAATTGAATAGATTTATACTGTTCCACTTACCTGACAATGGAATGAATGGCCAAAACATGTTGTAAGAAGTGAAAACAGTATAAATGTATTCAATTTATACAGAATTGTGTCAACAGAATATAAAATAAATATTTCACACAAAATGTGTATTTGGGCCGTTAAAAAATGATTGAGACAAGGGCGTTATTTGGAAGTGGTAGGAAGATTTGTATAGCTGATGATGGTAATTGATAGTATGTGTAGGTGTACAGACTGCCAACAGATGGCAGTGCACAGTGCAAGTGGTGCCACATAACAGACATTTGTTCCAAATATTGCTGGGTCACATATGGACGTGATGAAAGGTAATTATCAGGGGTAACGTTGGATGATGTGGTTTTTGTGGAAAGAAGGCATTCCTGTGGGTAATATTCACCATTGTCTAACAGCAGTGCGCAAAAATGCTGCCCCAAGGCGTGTAATTGTGTCTTGACGGATTCAGAACGTCACGAACAGGAACAAAAGTGCAAAGAAGAGAGTAAGCATCGGACGTCCGGGAACATTGCGCACTTCAGACATGATCCAGCGAATTTCTGATCTGATCGTGTAAAACAGGCATGTGACCATAAAGCAGTTGCAGGCAGAGATAGGTTTCTGTCAAGTGACAGTTTACTCAAATATTCAAGATAATTTGAAAATGAGGAGGTTGTGTTCACAGTGGGTTCTCCACGACCTGACTGAGCAACAGAAGCAGGCCCGGATTGACAGCTGCAAGCAGCTGCTTGCACTTAATGACACTAATCCAGCTGAATTTTTTGCTTGTCTGGTGACCAGTCTTGGTTCAGTGATGCCATACCTCAGGAGAAACAGCAGTCCATGCAATGGCGACATTGTGACAGTCATCTTCCAAAAGTGGCCAAACCAGCGCTGACATGTGGAAAACAATTGGCATCAGTCTTTTGGGACACACAAGGAATCCTGCTCATCGACTGACTTCCTCAGGGCTCGACAGTGAACAGCAACTCTGACTGTGACATTGTGACCTGTCTGTGCTGCAGAATTCAGCAGTGGAAGAAAGGCAAGTGGGCCAAGAAAGTTCTTGTTACACGACAGTGCTTGCCCACACTCGCCCAAACTGGATGAGCTTGGCTACACGGTTCTCTCACATCCTCCCCACTCTCCAGATTTAGACCCTTCAGATTACGCTCGCTTAGACAAAATGAAGGACCCATTAAGAGGCAGATGCCATACCCACCAGACATGTCGCATTTCGCCAAAAGTCTGGTTCCAGGAGGCCATCATGAAGCTTTCACAGCGATGCCTAGAACTGCAGTAAGACTACGTCGACCATTCCTGAAACTGCCTCATTTTTGCTATGCGTTGTCATGTTTTAATCAGGTTAGTGTCAATCATTTCTGAATCACCTAAATACAATATCGCCCTTGCTTAACACATGAAATATTTTTTGTATGTCAGCAGTTACAAATATAGCAATAGTGTGAAACTTGGGGCTATATCTAACAAATTTAACATTGACATATTGTGTTATTAAATAATTAGATCTTTGCAGAAATAAAATAAAATAGCAGTTGTAAAAGTAACAGTTCTGTAGGAACAGAAGTCTATTCAGCAGGAAAGCAGGTTTTATGAGTTTGCTTAGAACTGCTTGTTATAACTGATTTGTTATTCATAATTGTTCTCTTTATTACGTGTTTAAGGGCACTTCGTCTAACAGTTAATTCCATTACCATTTACTTATTGCCCTAAAAATTGTCAAAAAAGGTGAGCAATGAATTCGTGTGTGTATGAAGATGAAATTCTTGCTTTGTATCAAAGAGACAATTCAAGCAGAGTGTAATGAATGCTCTGTATGATTACCAGTTTAGTTCCAAACAAGGAAGCACCAGCTCCGCTGCACCAGCAGATTTTGGGAATGGTACATCAGGTGACCAGACTGACAATAAGCCGGCAGAGGACACTGTACCAGAAGATATCACTCACTTCTATGACAAGATGGACAAGGAGGATGAAGATGATGACGAGGAAGCTGTCCTCAAGACTGTCTCTTTTGAAGTGAATCAGGTCAGTTGCCTGACATAGTTTCTGTCTACTCCACACTTTGGTGCTTATGAATCTATCTGTTCATTGTCTCAGTATGTTAGTTTAATCTTTCAAAGCATTAAGCCCATCTAAGGAAATAAAAAAAAAAGACAAAGTTATCCCTGTGCATAATTAAATATGATACTGGGAAGACATGAATTTTTGGACTGAAGAGAGATGAAGTGACATGAGGTTTGAGAAAACTGCATAATGAGGAGCTTCATAACTTGTACTCGTCTCCAAGTATAATTAGAATGATCAAGTCAAGGAGGATGAGGTGGGCAGGGCATGTAGCACGAATGGGGGAGATGAGGAATCCATATGGGATATTGGTGGGAAAGCCAGAAGGAAAGGGATCACTGGGAAGACCAAGGTGTAGATGGGTGGACAATATTAAAATGGATCTTAGAGAGACAGGATGGGATGGTATGGATTGGATTGATCTGGCTCAGGATAGGGACCAGTGGAGGGCTCTTGTGAACACGGTAATGGAACCTTCGGGTTCCATAAAATGCTTGGAAATTCTTGAGTAGCTGCAGAATTGGCCACTCCTCAAGAATGGCTCAGCTCCATAAGTAAGTAAGTAAGTAAGTGAGTAAGTAAGTGAGTAAGTACTGGGAAGCCATAACAGCAGAGTCAATATATAGCTCGATGCATGCTTACTCTTAGCGCTAGATAGTGATGAGTGCTCAGCTTTATCCCTGAGGAAAGAACTTTGGCACCCAGTGGGTAGGAGTGGTGGGCTCCCAGAGCAGGTCTGGTTGCTGTGGAGAAGAAAAATATCTCAGCCCTTGATGGTAATTGAACCCAGATTTCCTGTTTGTCCAGCCCATAGCCTGGTGACTGTGCTGACTCTGCTATCACAGCTCCTCATTTGTTGTACCTGCATCCAGCAGTTCTCCTATTGTTGGGTATATTTGTTGCTATGGGAACTTCTTTACCGAACTGTTGCCGAGCAGCAATAGGGGAGATACACACAGACTGATGGGAGGGATTTATGAAGTACACCATTCAGATGGGCTCAGTTGCCATGATATACATACCAAGTTCCATAAAGAAGCATTCAAATGATGAGGGGGGATACACATACAGACAAGATGGAGATTGCATAAGCCTGCTTTTATTTTTTCCAAAATAAGGAGAGTAGGCTAAAAATTGAAGGTGGCATATGAGATCACCTTGCTGTCTGTGTGTCACTCCCTAACAAACTGGAATAGTGGAGCTAGGCAGTGGCTTAGTAAACACATTCTCACAACAATAAATACACATGGACAAGGTGTTTACTATGTGGGCCGTGTTGTATCAAATACTCGATATGTAGTGAAAGGAAAGTAGGTAATTAGTTCCTCTCAGAACTTCTTGTTTTAACTGTAACCGCAACTTATAACACTCGCCACTATTTCTTGTACTATTTTTAAGCTTGCATTGTTATTGCTAGTGGGGTGGAACTAAGTCCCTTGTATTGCGGCCACTTCTGGACTATTGTACGAGCCCCAGATGATAGGCGAGGGTGATTGTGGAGCAATTGGTGGAATAAAGATTGGCAAGGGAAACCGAAGTACTCGGAGAAAACCTACCCCAACGCCACTTTGTCCACCACAAATCCCACTTGACCAGACCCAGGATCAAACCCAGGCCGCTGCGGTGGGAAGCCAGCGACTAACTGCTTGAGCTATGGATTGGCCCCGTACTATTTTTAAGCGTGCATTGCCAGTACTGATATAAATTGTCAGTCAGGGAAGTGACGTCCCCGTGCCAGTTACGGAAACAGATTAAGATGCAGTATTGTTAGGAAGATGGGGTGAGAGAGATTTTTTTGTTGACAAGTTGATGTGTGGGAGCATTGCCAGCCATCACAGTTCTGGTCCATAATATGGTCTGTGTGCTACTATGCAAAACAGAAGGAATTACCTTGACGATTTATTGAAGTTTGCGACTGACAAATGACTTCAGAATTGAGATATGTTTGTTTTCTTGCAACTTGATATAGAACGCTTGAGATGTACAGATTCGTAGTTATGGCACTTTACCCTGATGAGTACCGATGGCAGAATGTACTGCCTATCATATGGTACAAGTGAGTGTTTGCCAGTGGATGTGTACATATGTGTCATAAGATAGGCAAGGATCCACAGACTTGGTCAACTATTCTCTGAAGGGAGGAGGTAAAACGCCCCAAGAATTGTGCTGGTAATGTACATGAAGTGTAGCCCTGTCTGTTGGGGAGCCACTATGTCTACTGTTTGGTTACATTAACTTTGTAGTCGGTAGGGGCAGTACTGGCACTGATGACACAACAGCTGATTGTACGCAAGAGAGTGCAAACGTGTTCCTCCCCATCACACATTATCCACATGTAAAGTGAGTGTGGCCAAGTAGTGGAACTGAACTTGTGCATTTCATTTCATGTTCTTACAGGAGAAGATTGAGGTTCTCCAAAAGCGATGCATTGAGCTGGAGCACCCCCTGTTGGCAGAGTATGACTTCAGGAATGACACAGTGAACCCTGATATCAAGTGCGTCCATCTTCAACTTAAAAATTATTTTAATGTTAGACTCTGATGCAAGTAAAGAGGTTGGTGTAGAAGTAAACACACAGAAAACTAAGTATATGTTGCTGTCTTGTCACCAAAATGCAGGGCAAAATCATGACATAAAGATAGGAAACATGTTTTGAAAATGTGGCACAGTTCAGATATTTGGGAACAACAATAACAGACCAAAACCTGATTCAGGAGGAAATTAAGAGGAGATTGAACTTGGTTAATGCTTGCTACCATTCAGTCCAGAACCTTTTGTCTTCTCTTCTGCTGTCCAAAAACATAAAAATTAGAATATACAAAACTATAATTTTGCCTGTGGTTCCTAATGGGTGTGAAACTTGGTCTCTGACATTAAGGGAGGATCATAGACTGAGGGTGTTTGAGAACAGGCTGTTGAGAATATTTGGCCAGAAGAGAGATGAAGTGGCAGGAGGTTGGAGAAAACTGCATAGTGAAAAGCTTCATAACTTGTACTCTTCTCCAAGTATAATTAGAATGCTCAAGTCAAGGAGGATGAGGTGGGCAGGGTATGTAGCACGAATGGGGGACTCAAGGAATGCGAATAGGATATTGGTGGGAAAGCCAGAAGGAAAGAGACCACTGGGAAGACCAAGGTGTAGGTGGGTGGACAATATTAAAATGGTTCTTAGAGAGATAGGATTTGATGGTATTGAATGGATTGATCTGGCTCAGGATAGGGACCAGTGGAGGGCTCTTGTGAACACGGTAATGAACCTTCGGGTTCAATAAAATGCTGGGAAATTCTTGAGTATCTGCAGAATTGGCGGCTCCTCCAGAAGGGCTCAGCTCCATGGTAAGTAAATAAGTAAGTTAGACTCTGTAACACTAGAATGTTATACTGTAGCAGCATACTGTGTGTGCATGGTGTTTTTCTACCAGGATTGCATTGACCGAATAAAAATAAACTAACAGGGGATTTGAGGCTGTCAGAACTGTAAAAATGAAGATAACAGGTTGTAGGATTTGAGGTTCTCACAGCGGTGGTTATGAAGAGTACTGTCTTCAGGGATATAATGCCGTCTAGTCCATCAAAAGTCAGTTGATGTTTCGGAGGAACATACTGCCTCCATCTTCAGGGTCGAAGAATAAGGCGAGCAAGGAACCAGCATGCAAGCAGGTGGCTCCTCCCTCCCTCCCTCCTTCCCAGCCCTTGACCCTGCCCTTGCCCTTGACTTGTTTGTGAGTCACCAGTGTTTGTAGCTTTCAGTTAGGTGGAAAAACTTGTGTGTGTAGGATACACAGACAGACAAACATGTGTGGCCTGGCACCACTGCTGTTTTGAGTTTTCTGAAATAAAATTTTCTAAGCTTAAAATGGAGTAAAATTTCATTGTCAGGACTTGAAGGAAAAAATGCAAAATTGGGATAAATGTGAATTTGGTTAATATTTAATATTAGTTCTTGAGGATATTTGGCCATGGCCCAATGAAAGTGTTTAAAATTTGGAAAAGCGTATAGTCTGAGTGCAAGATTCAGGGGAAGAGAAGGTGGTGGTGGTGGTGGTGGTTGTGGCAGTGTCCTGGACTGTAGTGGTTTATTGTCACTGACATTGTTATTTTTGTTGTCATTGTCATTTTAGTATTAAGAGAGTAGCTTTAAAGTAGCAGTTTGATTTTACAAAATATTATTATAGGAAGACCTTTCACTCACATGAACTTTTCTGCGTGTGCTCTAGTATTGATCTGAAACCATCTGCTGTGCTGCGACCATATCAGGAGAAGAGCTTGCGGAAGATGTTTGGAAATGGACGCGCAAGATCTGGAGTTATTGTTCTTCCTTGTGGTAGGTGTCACTGTAAGCACAGCATTCTCCTGAGTGTGTGTGCTCCACACAGTACTGTGTTGTGATGTCATGTGCAGGTGCTGGAAAGAGCTTGGTTGGTGTTACTGCCTGCTGTACAGTGCGCAAACGAGCCCTAGTCCTCTGCAACTCTGGTGTTTCAGTTGAGCAGTGGAAGCAGCAGTTCAAAATGTGGTCCACAGGTATCACTAGTTCCAGTTATTTGTTACATAGGTCAGCCTGCTTCTTTTGTTTGTTTGCCATTAGTGTATTTGTATAGGTGGAATGAAGTAGTTTACTTGTCCACGTGAATAGAGATCTGTAATGATCATATATGTGTAGTAACTCATTCTCAGTGGGTGGAACCCAAAGCTCCAGCACTGCTGCCACTATGATATGCCGCTGGACATGGCACAGATGGAAGAAAACTTTTAAAATGTGTTGTAATATCAAAAGATGTGTGTGTGAAATTAGAGATCTCCATGTGAAGGGGAGAACATAGACTGAGGGCCCATGAGAACAGGGTGCTGAGGAGAATATTTGGAACTGAGAGAGGGGAAGCAACAGGAGGTTGGAGAAAATTGCATGCCATAGTGAACTGTAAAGTGTGTGAATTAGCAATAACACTATAATTAATTGTAGTTACGGTTTGTAATGGTCCAGTAAATTTGATTACCAATCCAAACCTGGTGTCTGGTAACTAGATACATGAGCAGATGTAGCAGTAGGAATAGCAGACAATGAGAAGGAAAGAAACACCACCAGGGAAGATGATGTTGCAAGCACAGCCCTTGGAAGAAAAAGAACAGGGATGCAGCATTAGGCTATTAGGATGAACAGCCTTAAGGAGGGAGCATTTGCCCTATGCAGGAACTGTTGAGCCACAGAGGCCTCAGGGCACTCACACAATGGGAGAGTTGCGGATTGTATCCGTGCATTGCTAGGCGACAACTCTGTGAATGCTTGGATTGCGCAACTGGGAGTAGGAGTCACGTGATCTCTGCATTTCTGCGAGTGAAGTCATGTACCCCCACCCGTCCCATCGTTACACAATGCTCGGTAAACACCCCTCCCTGCTGAGCTGTGACATCACGCAACAGTGGAGTCTGTGCAGCAAACATTGCTATGCAATCAGTCGGTAAACACGTTCCAACAATATAGGCTGTTTTCTGTGTGGTCAGTGCAGAGGCTATATAATGACAGATACAGACAGAACAGTAGTCAGCTTGTCAGTCGAAGAAGTTAGTCAGAGTTAGTCAGTTCTCGGAGGGATCCACGGGAGAACTGAACATGTGATTAGAAGATTTTGTGTGTGATAATCAGTGATAGTGTGCGATAGCTGAGAAGTCAACCAGTGAAGACTTATTGTGTGACTTCAAGACATTACGTGTGCTGCAGTGCATTGATATTGGCAGTGTGTAATTCATTGAGACTTGTATAGCTCCCGTGTTATAAATACGTGTAGATAGACTGAAGAGATTAGCGTGTAGTGAGTATAAGTTGTGTAAATCAGTAACAGTGTAATAATTAATTGTGGTTATGACCAGTAAATGGTTAATAAAACCAATTACCAATACAAACGGAATCTTCAGTAGCCAAACACGTTACAGTATGTATCCGCCAAAGTACGCATTGCCACAACCCAGAAAACCTGTACCATGAGGGCCTCACATCTTGCTACAATGAATGTTAGTCAGGTTAAGGTTATGCTCTTGAAATGCATGTTGTATTTAGTTGGAAAAATTGAAACGAAAGGTTACTTGCAACAAGTAAGAAGTAGGTGCGAGGATAATATTAAAATGAGTCTAACAGAAATGGACACAGCAATAGTATTTGTGCTTCGGGGGACTGAAACTGTTGTCGCCCCTTGGCCAATATGGTGGAGAACCTAAATTGTATTATTTGTTACTTAAGACATGTTTCAGTTATGTGAAACAAATGTGTTTGTTTCAAGCGGATGATAGCATGATCTGTCGGTTTACTTCTGAAGCCAAAGACAAGCCCATGGGATGTGGAATTCTGGTCACAACATATTCAATGATCACCCACACTCAAAAGCGATCTTGGGAAGCAGAGCAAACAATGAATTGGTTGAAGGACCAAGAATGGGGCATCATGGTGCTTGATGGTGAGTGCTTTATATGTAGACTGTTTTGTATGGTGCCAGTATTGACTGAAAATCTGTTAATTTTTGTGTGACTTTCCTCGGGTATCTGCCAAATGCTGAAGTAGTACCTTATTGTAGGTTATGATTGTTTTTTGCCAGATTCTTTTTAATTCACTTCTTGTTACCAGGGTATGAATTGTAGGGTTTGTCTTCAGTTCTTCCATAAGTAGCATTGCATGATACTACATCTGTTAGCACCCATCCAGCTTTTAAAACAGCCATTGAGGAAGCTAAAATTGAATATTAGAGTTCATTTTATCGACCACACAACACATTTTTTATTTACTGTCACACTACATGTTTCGACCTCAAGAGGTCATCCTCAGGTGTACGAACACAGTTGCACAGTCACACGCAATCACATTCGTTTTTCCACTTATTTTGATCCTGTATCCTGTTCAGGTCCACGCTCAAATAGTATGTGTCAAGTTCTTCTTATAAAATATAAGTTAAAAAATACAAATGTTAAAAGTTAAAATTTAAAATTTAGTTCACTGTAGCTAGTTATATTATTACCACTTGGTTAAAAAGTTCATGAAATAAACTTCAACTCAGACAGAAGAAAAAATGGACCAAATTTACATACTTCAGCCCCAGTATTAGAAGAATCACTAAGCTATTTCGAAATACCAATATAAAAATAGCTTTCAAAACAAATAATACAATAAAAAAGTTTCTAAGAACAAAATATGAAACAACGGATAAATACAACCTTTGTGGAGTATACCAGATGACGTGTAAAGATTGTGACCTAAAATACGTCGGCCAAACAGGACGTAACTTCAGAACAAGATACAAAGAACACATCAGGGAAATAAAAACGAACGGGCAGAAATCAAAATTCGCCCAACACATACTGGACACAACGCACAATTACCACACCATAGACAAAGCAATGGAAATACTCCACATAGAAAAGAAAGGAAAAATGCTGAACACACTAGAAAGCTTCCACATATATGAATTAACTAAGCAAAATCTACAAATGAACGAAGCTTTGACTGATAGTTACAACCCAATTTATGATATCCTAATAAAAGCAAATCAAACGCAAGAAATATAATATATCCCAAAACCACCTACTTATCTTCTCAGAATACCACCCCCACCCCTACCCGCAACCCCACCCCCACCACCACTAATACCCTACAGGAACCAACCCAACAAACAAGACAATCAGTAGCCATCACGACAAGGAACATAATAGATCAAACATCAGAGGACGCCGAAGAACAACAAGACCTTCAAAAGTGAAAGTGCAGTCAATGTGATGAGTTGAAGTTTATTTCATGAACTTTTTAACCAAGTGGTAATAATATAACTAGCTACAGTGAACTAAATTTTAAATTTTAACTTTTAACATTTGTATTTTTTAACTTATATTTTATAAGAAGAACTTGACACATACTATTTGAGCGTGGACCTGAACAGGATACAGGATCAAAATAAGTGGAAAAACGAATGTGATTGTGTGTGATTGTGCAACTGTGTTCGTACACCTGAGGATGACCTCTTGAGGTCGAAACATGTAGTGTGACAGTAAATAAAAAACGTGTTGTGTGGTCGGTAAAATTAACTCTAATATTCATTTAATACACAACAGGATGCAAGAAACAATTAAAACTAAAATTGTCTGATAAGGGAATAACAAGAATTGCAAGTAACCATTTCACTTGACATCTTTAGACCTATAAACGAACCTACCATCATTCATCATTACGGGGTAATTATAAACCAAGCAAACACTGCAAGGAACTAATCTCTGGTCCAGAGATAGGGGCTAGCTCTATCTATTGGACCCAACTGAGTAGGTTTTTTCCTGAGGATGGGGACAGAATCCATTCTCGGAAACGTTGTGTTTTAAAAAAGAAAGAGGACAGTTTTTTAAAAAGAGTCAAGACGATGGATAATGTCCAAAAACATATTACTTGTAACTAATAATGCAGTTCGAAATCATGTCGTGTATGTCGGCAGGTAGCTCATCTTTCCAAGTTTCTGCTAGTACTAGACACAAATGTGACTCTTCCCATCTGCTAGAGGTACAGATATTGTGATAATCCATCTACTCAGGAGAAAGCATTGTGTCTCATTCAGGATATGGGGACAAATTTATTACAAACATTCATCATTAGTTTTGTAAACAGTGAAAGTCAGTTTACACGTGTAAGCAGTTTAAGTTCATTGAAACAGTGGTATCAAATACCTGCCACACTCTGGTAGATGTCTGGGAGGAACTGGGGCATCAGATTTATGTCTAGAGTGTGACTTATGGGGCTCACATTGAGTGTATATAAAGTTTGTAAGAAACTCTGAGAGAGTGTTGTTGAGAGTCACAATATATCAGTCATTAAACATGAGGGAGAGAAGGAATGCATATAGGATATTGGTGGGAAAGCCAGAAGGAATGAGACCACTGGGAAGACCAAGGTGTAGGTGGGTTGACAATATTAAAATGGATCTTAGAGAGATAGGATGGGATGGTATGGATTGGTTTGATCTGGCTCAGGATAGGGACCAGTGGAGGGCTCTTGTGAACATGGAAATGAACCTTCAGGTTCCATAAAATGCTGGGAAATTCTTGGGTAGCTGCACAATTGGCGGCTTCTCCAGAAGGGCTCAGCTCCATGAGTAAGTAAGTAATCCATGTTTGTTTGGACGTTAACAAAGTTCCATCACTCATGTTGCAGAGGTGCATACAATTCCTGCTAAAATGTTTCGGCGTGTATTAACAATTGTACAATCACACTGTAAGCTTGGGCTCACTGCTACTCTGCTTCGTGAGGATGATAAAATTGCTGATCTCAACTTCCTTATTGGACCAAAATTATATGAAGCCAACTGGTTGGAGCTGCAAAAGCGTGGGTTCATCGCAAGGGTTCAGTGTGCAGAAGTATGGTGCCCCATGGCCCCAGAGTTCTACAGGGAATATCTCATGTGCAAGACGAGTAAGAAACTGGTGAGTTTACGTGAAAAGTGTTTCATATTTTTGTGATGAGGCAAAGCATAGGTCATACCACTAATATGGAAGCCTGTCATTGGCTTGAGTCTTGTCATCATCATTACTGTTACCTTCTGCTCATCTCCCCCCATCCTCCTTCCTCCTCCTCCTTATAGCCTCTTTTCTGTTTTAGAGTAGTTAGTGGACAATGAGCCTCAGTCCTCATCTTTCTTCCCACATTCTTTCCTTTTCAGTTTCATACCAGTTCTTTCCTCTTTTATTGAAGTCTTCCACCACCTGGCTTCTTGTTTCTGTCTGTTCTTTTTACATGAGAGAACTGTTGTAATTCTATTCAATTTTGAATCCCAGCTTCTCCAAGAATTTCGTTTCTAATTCTGTACCTCTTATTCTACCTTAAGTAATAGCTCAAGCGGTTAGCCACTGGCTTCCCACCACGGTGGCCCAGGTTTGGTCAAGTGGGATTTGTGGTGGACAAAGTGGTGCTGGGGCAGGTTTTCTCTGAGTAGTTTGGTTTCCCCTGCCAATCTTCACACCACCAGGTGCTACACAATCACCCTAACCTGTCATCTGGGGCTGGTACAGTAGGCCAGAAGTGGCCGCAGTACAAGGGACTTAGTCCCACCCCACTAGCAATAAAAAAAATCGACAATTTTTTTTTTAACTTTTGTTTCTCTTTGTGTCAGGGTTTCAGTGTTACATGTCTGTATCACTCTAAAGTGTATTTGTTTTGGCTTTGCATTGTTTTACATCTCTTTTTTTTCTCTGTTCCCATATTATCTTATAATTTAATAAGGTTTATACACTCAACTCTCGATTATCCGGGATAATGGTGGGGATGGAAATCACGATTAATCGAAAACCCGGTTAAGACAAATTTTATTAAAAGTAGTACTGTAATACTGTACCTTCATAATACTATAGGCCTACCTGTATTTAAATTTATTCAACCTCATTTTTATGTCATCTCATGGCCTATTTAATACTTTTTTTTTCATTACACAGAAGTATGAATTAGTTATTTCAATCACAGTGTTCAACAACATCCAACACTTAACACTTAAAAAATTTAATATTGTCGTTTGCTTTTTCGCGCCATTTTCCTCTTTACGGATATCCGTACGAAGCCTACGTAATATTAGCTTGTCACTTAATAAACTGTTCTCTTCACTCTCAAGATCCTCAAGATAGTCTAGTAAGGATTCCAAATGATTAAGAGCAGCACTGTCCAGCTCTTCCTCATTCTCACTTTTGTTTTTCCAAATCTCGAACAGTTTGTTCTCCAATACTGTACTGCATTGCTAATTGTTTAACTACACCTCTTTTTCCCAGCTGATTGATAATTTCAAGTTTCTGTTGAATACTTAACACAACACGCTTCCTTTTACACCCTGACATTCTGCTAACGCACTTGAAGATCGATACAAGGATAATAACTGGGGCGATGTATCTGTCCTTGAAACTTTCCACAAATCCTTGCATTCTTTCACCCCTACCCTAGAACATTGTGTTAGCATAATGGGACCAAAGAATGCAGAGCTCGGTTCACACTAGTGCGAAAATAGTGTTACAACTCACCATGTGAAACAAAAGTGAATGAGTATTAAACAATATATAAGCCTCAAAAAAGCCTCAGTAGCCCCGGTTAAGCCGCAAACTGGTTAATCCACCCCCGGATAATCGAGAGTTGATTGTAATTATTTTATGCCAACTTTTGTGGCTAGAGAGTGTCACATAGTCAGCGCAGCAGTTCCCCACGGCCGTTAATCTTGGTTTGCTAGTTGGCACTAACTTCACCAACAAGCGGCAGTCATTCATTTGGTATAGTTCAGTTGCTGACTGGAGGCAACGTAGTTTGGTTTTTGTTTTTAGAACTATTTTATATTATCAGTGTTGTTGTTTGTTATATTGCTGCTGTTATTATGTGATGCCCATTGCCCTACCCTCTCCTTGTTGTATGTCTTGCTGTACCAAGTTTTCAATTGTGTCTTGCAGCTTCTGTATGTCATGAACCCCAGCAAGTTCCGAAGCACACAGTATTTGGTACGATATCATGAGAGACGTGGTGACAAAACCATTGTTTTTTCTGACAATGTGTTTGCTCTGAAACATTATGCCATTAAGATGAACAAGCCGTACATCTATGGTCCAACTTCACAGGTACGTTTGAATGGAAGCGTTTGTGTGTCTCACAATTTGCAGTTTTATTAGAGACATAAATACGCAGTGATGAATTAGTCCTCACTCTCCGCAACTCTTCGTCAGATATGGCAGTTTGGGCAAAGCACTGGTAAATGACCACTCTTGCTCAGGAGAGCAGAAGGGTGAATAGGTATAATCTGTGATATGCTAATTATATTGCGGTTATATGGGTTATGACATTGTGTTAAGTATGGTAAGTGGGTACTAACATTTCAGCAGGGCTATTGGAGGGCTGCTTTACTTGAGGCCTCACCTACATATTATGGGCCTCTTGGAAAGCACAATGCAGGGAAACATGGACAGGAGGAAAAATCCTGCTACTACACAATTCATCTGTGATTAGAGCCAATAGATAATGGGATCACCTTTGTCCGGATGGTTTCTGACTGCAGTCAGAGCTCTTTGAGGGGTTCTGACAAGATTGTGAGCACACAGTAAACCTAATAGTGGCCTTGGTGCTTGGGGGTAACTCACGTAATTGTCAGCCTAAGCCACATTACTGATACCAGCATTTCAAAGGAAAGGCCCTGCTTGCTACCTGCTTCATGAAAGTTTCGTGTGTGGTTTATTTTTTGTCCCTAAAGATAGAGGTGACATGTTTCTCCAAAACATCCATTGACTTTCAGTGGACTGCACACTGTTATATCCCAGAAAATAAGAATTCTTCATAACCACTGTTGTGAGAACCTATGTTTCAGCGGAACATGCTGCCTCTGTCTTCAGGATTGAAGTGACTTTAATGCTGAAGATGATGGTAATATTCCTCTGAAATGTTGGTACTTACCAGACTGCAATGCAGTGTCATCACATGCAACACCATAATATGAATGTTCACCTCTGTGGATACCTCAGATATTAAAACAGAAAAATGGCCCATAATTTTTCCAAGTCAGTGTGAATGATGGAAGTTGTTGTGAGACAAATTCTTTTAGCTTAACCATTTTTCCTGCCAACAAACAGATTGATACAGTTTAATGTGTTTTTCTGAGCCATACACAATCTGATGTGGTTGATGATTAAACTTTCCCCTTTCCATCAGTATTTCTGTAGACAACTTGCAAATTGTGGCAAAGACATGCCTGTAATCGAGTTTTGCATTTCTCAGGCTGTCACTATGACGAATATATCTTCATTAAGACACTACGTGTATATTGTTTACATTAAAAGTGACTATTAAATACTTTAGAATGTCTTTAATTTATATCATATGATCTTCTAATTTGCAACATGTTTCAGCCCCACCTGGGCCATCATCAGGCAAACTTTTGATTGGTGAGGAGATCACTGTACTGTTCGCATGTTTTTCGTGCTCTCAGGCACGTCATTGTTTTCCTTTTGTTGCGTCACATATCTAGAACTCCGTCATTGTATTCTTTTTATGGCTATCACACAGCAGTATATAATGTGTATTATTTTGTATGATTTTAATCTTGTTATCTTGTATATCATGTTACAATTCTGTGTACTTTATATTATAAGCAGTCCATATTACTAAGTTTGGCAGCTTGAGGGCTACCTGGCCACATGTTCTTGTTAGCTCTGCATTATATAGTTTGCTTATGTATATATCTCTCATAACTTCAGAATGAAAGAATTCAGATACTGCAGAACTTCAAGTTCAACCCAAAAGTAAACACCATATTTGTCAGTAAGGTTGCTGACACATCATTTGACTTGCCAGAAGCCAATGTCCTCATCCAGATCTCTTCCCATGGTGGCTCACGAAGACAAGAAGCTCAGCGACTGGGTCGAATTCTCCGTGCAAAGAAAGGTATTGCTGTAGTGATGTTTTGTAGATTTTTTGTATGGAATATCTGTAGGGGAGACATAAGCGTAGATGGGAGGTTAATGTTAAAGTGTCCATGTATGGAGAATTGGTTTGAAGTAGCTGTGGATAAGGTCCAGTAGTGAGCTTTATGGTCATGCAGCGGAACTCCCTGTTTAATGTTCCTTGATTAAAGGTTTTCCTCATTTATCACTCAATTTCAGTGACCCCAAGTTAATAATTTCAGTGTTGAATGTTCTCTGTGTAAGATTTTCCTCAGTGTAGTGTGTTGAAATCTGCTACCCCACAAAGAAACCTTAAATGAGGGTTGGTCCATAAAAGGATAGAAATTGTTGACAACTGAAATAATCAAGAATGAGTTTATGCCATGGGCAGCTGTGTAGTTGTATCCTCTGGGAAGTGGTTGCGTTCCTTAACAGTATTACAAAATATACAACTGAAGCTTAGGAATAACACTCAAATTAAGGAATTAAGAGAAGGTATTTCTGAGCAGATTGGTCTAGTGTAATGTTCTCTCCTTATACTTTGGAGGTGCTTATGCAGAATCTGATGTGAGACACTGGCTGTCCTGACAGGGTTTTTGCTGTTTTCTCAATCCCCTCAGGCAAATACCTGTATAATACCTTTATCAGGCAACAGCCGTTTCCTTCCAAATTCTTTCCAATCTATCTGTCATCCTAGTGTTCAGAGTTTTATGCTTAGCTACTCACAGTGCCATAAAGTAACACACAAAAAGATTTGCCTACAAGATGCCCGGATGTTGGTCGCAGCAGGTTCCTCTGGGATGGCGATAATGTTCTGCCATACCAAATGATGTCAGATTCTGGATGATTGCAATCTTCATGAATCTGAAATCTTGTTAAGGCATGATTGCTTCTTTACACATCCTTTCTGATTTACTAGTTATCCATCATTTGTACTATTCTGTGTCTGAGGCATTTTTGAAGGTGCATCATAAGGTAGTGATGCATATCATTATATTGTCACTAGAAAGTTACTAGCCTCAGTTTTCAGTGTACAATGGGAAACGCAATGGAGATCTTGTGAACACATAGGACTTTGCCTATACCAAAATATTTCTGTTTCACTTTGCAGGGGCTATTGCTGAGGAATACAATGCTTTCTTCTACACTCTGGTATCTCAGGACACAATGGAGATGAGTTACTCTCGCAAGAGACAGAGATTTCTTGTCAACCAGGGTTATAGCTACAAGGTGATCACCAAGCTGGCTGGCATGGATGAGGTAACTGCAACAGAATTACACGGATGATTAGTTGCATTTTTGTAAAATGATATCCTACATCTGGCCATAGGACCTGAGGAAAATCCCAGAATAACTGTTGGAACTGAGGATTTCGTGGCAATGAATGTTAAGACTATTGTCTTCTGGGATGTGATGCTGTGTAGCTTGATGGAAAGTTACTAGTGTTTTGGGGCAAATCGCTGCCTCCTTCAGAGTAGCGGGATTTTCTGTACCACTCTTGTGCCCTGAGATGGCAGCAGGTTCCCCTGAAATATTGATACTTTTACAGGATACTGCATGGCATTATGTCACAGATGGCAGTAATCATCAAAGGTGATATCATATGTGTGATCTCACATGTGACTAATTATATGTGCTTTCATTGTTTGTGGTTTTATTTTGGTCATGGGATTTTTCAAATAACCTAATCCTTCCATCCGCACTATGGCCCTGGGGTTGACTCAACCTCTAACAGAAATGAGTACCTGGAACCTTCGTGGGGGTAAAGGTAGGCTGGTGTGCAAGGCTGACAACCTCAACATCATCTCTGAGCTGATTGCCTAGAAACTGTGTGAGCCTCAGTGTTGCACAATCCTATGGACCTCCATGGCCTGTTACAGGGATAACTTTACCTTTTTACAGTGGCACTGATAGAAGTTGCTATGTGTGCTCACTGAGTTTCTCCATCGTTTTGGCCTGGTTGTTTCCTCATCTACCCCGCCATGCTCACACATTCAATGCCTTTCCCGTGTTACATGTTTTTGATATTTGCAGTGATTCTTCAGGAACACAGCCTTTGTTTATAATAAAGAGTCACCTGTGTTATTAATGTAAGGGCTGAAGTCTTGGTTGCTAGGTGCACGCCTCTCATCTTACTGCTTCAGGAACCTGATTTGTTATACAAGACGAGGGAGGAACAAGGTCAGCTGCTACAGCAGGTACTTGCTGCCAGCGACATTGATGCAGACGAGGAGAGAGTTCCAGGAGAAGGACCTCGTATAGGTCCCACTGTAAGTGCACTACTTAAGGTCTATACACAGTGCTTTTGTGCTTCTGTATGTTTCTGGCTTAGTTGAAGCTTATTTAAAGTCACGGTAATGCAGGTGTCTATGACTCGTGGGTCATCCTCTAAATATTTTTGTTATGTTATTAGGTCCATCGCCGAGTCGGCAACATGAGTTCTTTGTCAGGAGCTGATGATGCTGTTTATTTAGAATACAAGAGAACATCTTCCAACATCAAGCACCCTCTATTCAAAAAGTTCAGGGCATGACTGGAATATTTAGTTGTGGATGTAGTTGAGTGTTACAGCAGTTTAGATATTGAAAACAATATCATGATAAACAGGATTCCAAAGCATATTCATGTCATTAAAAATTTGCCTTTTGTTATATTTACAAATCAGTGTTTGTTCAGAGAAGCCTTCATTCACAGGTGAGTGTAGTGTTGAATGGTAGGATAATAGAGGTACTGGAAAGGATTTGGAAGGCAGTGGTTGTGACCTAATTGAGGTACTGTGCTGGCATTTCCTGAAGGGACTGAGAAAAACTATGAGAAACCACGGTCAGGATAGGTGATATGGCCTGGATTCAAACTGCACACTTTCCAAATATGAACCAGGGAGGAGGTGTGTGAATAAGATGTGATAGATTATAAGTGTAGGATTACCTTGAACTTGTGTCAGGTACTTTAATGTGATGTATATTAAATAATTAAATGGTATTTATATATTTTGACAATAAATGGATGTACCAAACACTAGAAAATATTGCTCTTCATTTCTGAATGTGATCCCTTTAATATGTGCATGTATGTCATCAACTGGCACATTTTTAGTTCATCCTTCTTTTTACTGATTTTGCTTTTGCTTCTTCTTCTGTTCTATGTTCTTCTGGATATTGTAATGTCTGTGATGATTTAATTTCCTGCATTTTCATCTGTATTATTTTTACACGTGCTAACATATATTTGCCACTAGTCCATCTTTTGGGCCAGTTTTCATGAAATTTTGTGATTATATAGCACTTGGAGGATTCATTTGTATAATGCCTTCTTTGTTAGCAGCATTCATGATAATTATTATTTGCCTTTTCAAAATGGGGGCAAACAGACCTTGGTACTTTGCATCGTTCCAGCCAAATGGTTTTGACTATGGTCCATGTATGCTATGGGGCAACCTTCAATACCGTATTTATGCATAATCACAAGTAAGAGATAGTCTGTGCTACTACATTGTGATGCTCCATCAGAACATCCATGTTTTTAGACCTCCATCAGTAGTCCAAGGTACATAGAATTAATCTAAATATCAAAATTTGTCTTGAAAGTCTGATATTTGTTTCAGTTGGGTATATATTGCCTTTAATAACGGTCTTTGTTACCTCTGACGTAGAATTTGTTGTACAACAAACTAATGCTTGACTGAAATTGCCCAATGTTGCTTGGAGGGATTTTCAAGCTTTTATGAGATGCTGCAAATGACGCTGATGCACCAGATTCAGTCCTATCTGGTTCATTTTTAATTTGTGTGACTGCTGTCTTTGATTCACTAGTTGCTTGAGGTACTACTTCCTGTGTGGAACTGAAGTCTTGCTTCTTCAACAGCTCCTCTGTAAATTTATATACATTGCTTAATACTGCTTGTGACTGGTCATGGGAAAATTTCCCATGTAATAGTCTTTTTAACAGGTGGAAATGTGAAAGAAACAACTGTTTTCTGATTTCCAGTATGTGATCAACAGGAAGAGAAACTGACACTGTAACAACTTTTGTTTAACTGACTGATACACACTCTACAATCCTTACCTCACATATTGGCCACGCAAATACACAGCCTTTTTTTTTTTTTAGTATGGCCAGGTCTAAACACACTGTAATAGTATTTCAGATTAGGTTATGTTAGATGTGTGAACAAGGATTATATTTGAATAAACAAGCATGCCTGTATTTTGTATGTCCCATTGTTTACTGTAACTTTGTGCATATTATTCTGATTCTTCAGTTTGTTATGCGTGTCACGGTAAAATATGCTGTGACATGTCCTGCCATTGAATTTCCCGCACCTTCAAAGTTGAGGGAGTTGCTTCGACGATGCTACCATCTATGGAATATACTGTGTAATACGCAGTAACCATATTTTTTCAGAGGAAGACGTGGGAGTGGCAGGAGAAGTTGGGGTAAATATTGTTTTTATTGTTGACATTATTTATGTCCGTGTTTTTATAATGTGTTATGTAACATTGCCGAGTCTAGTTCTTATTAATATGGATGAAAACATTTAGAATTCTTCACTCGCGTGTTGCGGTCCAATATCTACCATTTGGGTGTGTAGTATGATCACGGCGTTGGGTAAATTCATGATGTGAAAAATGTGTGGGGATTAGAGTAGTCGCAATTGATATACGAATATAAATGTAAATAATTCTTACGTCAGAAGAAATAACGTTAAGTATTCTCCCATAATAGTGTAGTGGTATTGTTTTTTGTTTGTTTTTAAAGAAGAGGTATGGTAATTACTAGGATAAATCATAAATTGCGGAAGATCAAAGGGTATTTGTAAATACGGACCGAAATGCTAAAAATAACTTAAAGCAGGACGGCCGCTTTTTTGGTTCAACCTTGGACAATTAACAAAGGTTTCGGTAATGTAAATGGGAAAGTATATAATATGAACCTCAAAATAATGCTCCACCCAGTTATTATTGTGACCGTAATCAAGTCACCGCCCCCACCTCGCAAGGGATTCGTGTTTCTTATTCCCCAGGTAATATAAACGATGGTGTGAGAGACATCGCTGGTTTTTAAAAGGAATCCAGTTAAAATTGTAAGAGGGCATGGTCCATCACATTGGGCATTCTCAGCTTCGCAGATTGGTCAGGCTACTAGGAGCAGTAACCTGCATGGTTTGTATTCAAAGGTTCCCTGTTCAGAACTGGACTGGTACTGTGAACATCCAGACAGAGGCAATTTGTGCTTTCCTTCCTTTTCCCTCCACTTTGGGAATGATGGGATATGACCTTAAAAGTTATATCTGATTCCAGTACTCATATTTTGCTGTGAATAATCGTTTGTTTGTCTCATCACATCAAATTACTTAGCACTGAGTGGGCTGGCATAGTGGAAACTCTCTAGTCTTGTTTTTCATGAGGCACATAGTTTGAATCCCGCCAGGACTCTGGCTATCTTGACTGATGCTTTTTGTGGTTTCATTTTGCCCCTTCAAGCAAATACCAGGATAGTACCTGAATTAGGCTATGACTAATACATTCCAAATCCTTTAGAGTTCATCCATTTGTTGTTCTACCAGTTTACACCATGTAGAAGCGTTACTGGTAGCATTGTAAAATACCCCATTCCCCCAAAAGAACCTGACAACCACAGTGCCCCGTTATTCCTTAGAAGCTTGAAGCTCAACTAAATAATATTTAAAAAAAAAGGTAAAGTTGGTACTATGCTTAATTAATTAAGCACTATACCATGATGATGTATGGGAAAATGGAGGTATAGTTGCACCATTACTGATGACAGCACTAGATGGAGGTGAGTAGTCAGTTTCATATATCAGTTTTAATAGAGTTTGGTCAACATTATGTCAAACCTATGGTTTCCAGTAAAGCTGGGAATATCCTGGCCAACCAAACAGCTGTAAGTTTCTCAAAGAGAACCTGTATCATGGGGTTCATTAATTTTTCATTTCCAAATTGTCACATGTCAGTGACTATAGATGGGGTTTGGATTGGCAATCTGATTTCCTGGACTCTTACAGATCATAACTACAGTTAATTCTAGCACAATCACCAATCATGTACTCTACAGTTCACAGCAGTCTTTTCAGTCTGCTGTGTCTTCACTGCTTGTTGCTTGGTAACAGCTCCTGGTGCCATAGGTTCCATGTCTTCTGTGATCAGCAGTTCCTGTCTTCTCTGGTTATGGGCTGTGTTGCATCTCCCATGACTCCAGGTGTGTTTTCACCTTGTCAAATTCCAAAGTTGAGTCAAAAGTCACTTTATGACCCATGGCCTGCCAGCCAGTCAGCCTTGGTGTCAAGCCCCATGTGAGGCCCAAGACTAGATTTTGTTACTGTCAGACAGTTGTGGTTTTGTCAATGTGGGGCGCCCAAAGAGTTTCCTCTCAGGGTTGAGTGATAGAGCTTTGGAACAGACCCAACAGAAAACACTACTTCCGACATTTCCTGTATTGTTGCATCCATAACTAGACGTTGCATTTCATATTCTATTGTTGCATCACTGTTTATTGTTCCGTAACCTACTAACAGACGTCTCTTCTGATTAAAGTATTCTGGCTTTCAGCAGACATGCCACACATCTCCCACCTTAAGGCTGCTCATCCTGAGTAGCCTACAGGTGTTCTGCCATTTCTTCTTTTCTTAGGGGACGTAGCTGTGAAATGTATACTCGTCTTGGTAGATGGCACTTCAACGTCTTGCTGGCCCTGGCACTTCCAGTTTCTAAGGAGGCCAGTCTTCTTTCTTTGTGGATAATGCAGCATGCTGTTGTCCTTCAACTTGTCCAACTGCTCCCTTTTTAGGGCAGCTCATCCTGAGCGGTTACCTGGTAAGGCATGAGCTAGTCCAGGTGTATGATCATCGTCTTTGTTTTAGGGTTCCTCTGAATTCAGTACGCCACCTCATTAATTGGGTGACTACCCTGTGTGGGCCCTCCCATGAGGATTGAAGCGTGAGCAACTTCCCCCTTCATTGTGATAAGTGACTGTGGAGTGGTTTGGATTGGTAATCAGATTTATTGGACTTTTATAGTTGTAATTACAAGTAACTATAGCTGTATCACTAATTCACACATTCTGAATTTCACTGCAGCGCACATTAATTTTTTCAGTCAGCTGTGGCTTCGCCGTTTGTCTGGTAATGGGTTCCGATACCATAGATTCCTCACCTTTTGTCCTCACTGGCTGTCGCCTACCTCATGATTAACTCTGTCATCTCAGTCCTCTAGTCTCTCATGACTATCCTTCATGAATCACAGTCACACACAGACTAGTGTTCCCAGTCATGGTCTTCACTGTGCTGCTAGGTAGCATCACCCAACAGTGGAATTCCCCTGCTTTCAGGCTTATGCCCTATCTCACATGAAGACATGGCATTGCTATGCAGCAGCATACAATGGGGGCCTCTCCACCTCTGCAAGGGTGCTTGTGCGACAACCTCCGATGGGCCTGTCTTCCAGCTGCTATCTGCGGACTCAGTACTCTCAACTTCTCTAGATTCTTGTCTCTGTTTAGTGTGCCATAAATTAGTAATGGATGTCTCTTCTGGTTAAACTCTCCAGGCTTTCAGCAGACATGCCACAATATATACAAGGCCTCTGTCAGTCAAGGCATGACACAGCAGATCATGCCCTAACTAATGTAGTTCATGTTGCAACAGCTGCCTAGTCACTTGAACGGTCGTATGCTTGACCACCACCAAATTTTAGCCTCTTATATTTTCTGTGTCATGCTTTGCCTTTTTGAATGTCGTGAACATTTGCATTTTCATGATTTTGTCAGAGTTACATTACACCCAACAGTCAGTCAGTCCAGTCGGTCTTGATGTCAGGTCCCATGTAGGGCCCAGGACCGGATTCTTGTTACTGTCAGACAGTTGTGGTTTTGTCAATATGGGGCACCCTCTCTGATGAGGATGGGTATGTCATATACCACAGTCAAAATCAGTAGTACATGTCATCTGTATTATAATTTTACATATCGATATTCTATATAGTCATTTGTCAAAAGAGTCCGGTTCCTTGTGGTTACCTGGTTAGTCAGAGTCAGAGTTACTTTACGACTGCCAATCATTTATTCGTCTTGGTGCCAAGCCCCTTGAGGCTCATGAGCAGTCATTTTATTTTTCAACTGATCCCTTGCAGTCATAGTCTGTATGTAACTTCCTCTCTCTGATGACTGTTGCTGAGGAAATATGTTTGCAGAGCCATTCCCTAGCAACAGACTTCTCATCTGGCTCCACAATTTCGCCTTTGAGGTGTCATGTCACAATATTGTGGATTAGTTTATGATGCTGTCAGTATCCAAGCTATACAGTGTCAAATATTAGTGTGACAGATGAATTGGAAAGGATTTGGAAGAAAGCAGTTATGGCTTAATCGGGTTAGTATACTGGCTTGGAGGGAGTGAGGAAAAACACGGAAACAGAACTGCAAGTGCTCTGTCCAGATTCAAAGAGCATCTCCTGTATATGAGTCTAGAGCATTACTGCTACACCATCATTCTCGGTTTTAGTTAATTAGTTCAAGGGTCAGGACAGCACAGTGGGTATGTGGCTATGAACTGGACAAGAGGGGTTGGAGTTAGAGCCCCAGTGGGGTCAAGAAGTTTATCTCCTCTGCGTCATCTAGACTGGTTCTGGTGCCCATCCAATGGTCCAGTGGGTACTGGGGGTCTCTTTCCCTGGGGGTGGTGTATCCCGAAGTTCCTTGCTGGATGCCCGGCGCTGGCGTATCATGGATGTTAGCGGCGCACAAGTCAGGTCTGGTGCTACCTAGGCTGGGCACATGTGGAAATCGCTGGGAATCCGGGTTGACAGAGGACGATCGATTGATCCAACAAGAGTGGTGTAATCAGCAAGTGAGTTTATTAACTAATTTCTGTTGATTACACATATACACCACACCTGGGGACTGATAGCTAGGGTTCCAGGGAGGGAAGGCTGTCTTGGCTCTACTTAGCGTTATCTCGGTCAGCGACTAGTCTCTCGCTCCATCTGCATCAGACTGGGTTTTCATTCTTTGTTTTAATAACACCACCAGTCGTAAGGAATATTTCAGAGCAGAGCTCTGTTAGTTTGCTTGCTTATGTCTTGCCCCTTTTTTTGTGGGCTTCGCTTCCTGTACCCTATGTGTTCACGTTTTTAGCAGCCACAGCTGCCTAAGATGGAGGTCACGCGTCTGACCCCCTTGGTTATCTCGACTGCATGCTTGCGTCCTCACGTGTCGCTACCATTTCTGTTACATTTCTATTAAGATTAAATGCTAATGAAATAACATATTAAGAGTAAATGCTAATGAAATAACATAGCGTATACAACACCTTTACCAAATGAAATAGCTCTTATAAAACAATAACACATATACAACAGGGGTAAAGCTGGACACTGACCTCCAACTAATTCCAAGGTCAAGCAAATGTGGATCTATATGTCCACTCCCCCATATATTGATGATGTAGTACTTAATTGGGTAAGCACAGGTACAAATTTGCTTTACTTGAGATCACAAATTAATTGCAGGTGAAAACGCTGCAGCAACTGGCTTGTCACTTGAGGTGGTCCATGCAGCTTTGCAGCTGCATCCACCGTGTGCACAATAGGTAGGCGTAGGGCTGCTGCCATGANCTGGATGGTATGTAATATTCATTTTGAAATGTGGTTTCAGAGGCTGTTAGTTGTGACCATTCAGAAAGGGGATTGTTTAGAAAGTAGTCAAATCCACAATTTATGCAAATCAGTAATATTTAGTATAGGTGAGTTTGGAAAACACAGCTGTAGGCAATGAAACATTTCTCAAAAGCTTCTTGGTGGTAAATGCAATTGCATGGAATAAACCGCATTACTTCTTCAAATATTCACAGATATGAATCAAATGAAAGTGTAATCTTTCTTCTGCTCATTAGTGTGTCACACATGATGACATGCTGACAGAAATGCTCTACTGATATATTACTAAGGAGCCAGTTTCTTCAGCTGTGGCAGTTTTAATGCAGATACCTATGTTTTGAGCTTGTGGTCTGTGGATGGGTAGTCAAGCACAAGAATAGCTTTACCTTAACCTCAATTTTCTGAGTTGGTGTCAATAATTGGCAGCTGTGTACCAGTTTTTTAACTGCAAAATGTGTCTTTTGCTTTGTAGGTGCTTTGAAACATTCCTATCCAGGTACTGAGTAAAAGCAATTGTCTTCCTCTGGTCTAGTTTTCGTGTGTAGGTCATTTCAGAGAGGTATTTAGCATAGAATCAGTGTGCAGATCATTACTGTGAGGTACTGAGCCTAGATTTATGTTGCTAGTACTGGACACTGCTGGCCAGGAGGAATTCAGTGCAATGCGTGAGCAGTACATGAGGAAGGGCGATGGCTTCCTGTTGGTATATTCAGTTACAGACAAGCAGAGTTATCAGAACATCATTCATTTCCACACGCAGATACTCAGAGTTAAGGACAGGTATGTGTAACGACCTCGGCTCTTCATAGTGTGTTCTGTTCTGTATGCAGAATTTATAAAAGAATAGTGCAATAGGAGTGTAGATTCTGTGTACATACCTTTTTTTTAAGAGGTGTTGACTGTTCAGGTCTTCATTATGAAAACCAGTAGTGCACTGTGCATACATTCTTTGTGCAGGCCATGCTGATCAGGTACTTGTCACTTTATCTCTCAGTTGTGTTCCAAAAAAAAGTCACAGAAAATGAAGTTGCATAAGCAACCATAAAGGAATATTACGCTGAAGATATCCCCATTCCATGAAAGATTAACAGCAACAGATATGCAGAAGAGGTTGAATTGGTAGGCCATATTTTCTCTGATGAGTTCTGTCTTCTGAAGGCTATGTAGAAAGGTAAAGCCGTCCCTATAAACAGGCTGTGGAGGCCCATAGGGTTGTGAGACATGATGGCTGCCACATTTTCTAGACAGTCGGCTCACAGGTGGCAGTGAGGTTGTCAGCCACCATTTAACCCTATGAAGATTCCTGGTACTCATTTCTGTTAGAGGTTGAGTCAACACCAGGGCCATAGTGCGGCTGGATGGATTAGGCCACTTAAAATATCCAGTGACCGATTCAGGAATCAAAACCGCGACTGTCCGGCTTGTAGCATAATGCCTCAACCAGCTATGGTACTAGGTGCCCCTGTAACACCATGCAGTCTGTTGAAAGACAACAGACACTTTGGAGGAACCTGTAGGTGTCATCTTCAGGGCTGAAGAGTAACCCAAGCAAGAACCCAGATTCAAGCAGGTAGCAAGCAGTTGGAGGGAACATGTTCATTCATAACGTCAGTTGGCTTTCAATAGACTGCATGGTCTTATCTCCCAGAACATAGAACTCTTCATCACCACAACTGTGAGAACCCCAAATCCTGCAGATGTTCTTGTCTGTCCTCAGGTCCCTCCACCTTCGTCACGCATACAGTACTCTGCTCCCTCTTCACCCCACCTCACTTGATCGCCCAGCAACCACTTTGCATTGAAGAGAGTGCTGTTAATTGATGTTGGTCAGAATTAATTCTGCATATTAAAAGGGTGTATTATGTTTATAAATGCAACTTTCCTTCCACTTCCCTCCTTTCTGCCATGGATCAAGACAACATTTGAAGATTTTATGAAATTTACTGTGTGCTCTTGCCAGTATGTATAGTAGCCATTGCTGTTAAAGTCATGTGTAAGTGGTGTAGTTCTTGGAGGTGATTTGAAGCCCTGTTCCCATTTTTTTCTACATCACATGAATAGACCTTATTCTGTTAAAGATTATGAACTTTTGGGTTGTAAAATTATTTACTTCAGAGTCAGTCTAACGTTTTGAAGGAACATATTGCCCTCATCTTCACGGCCGAAGATTAAGCTGAGCTTGACTTGCTGCCTGTTTCTATTGGAGTCTTTCTTGGCTTACTCTTCAACCTTGAAGATGGAAGTGATGTGTCCCTTCAAAACATGGGGCTTTTTGCTAACTACACACTGTTACAACCTGTAGTCACCACTGTGAGGGTGTCAAATCCAACATTTATTTTTCTAAATTCTGGTGTTCTTCTGTCTCAAGTTTGAGCTACTATATGTCATGATACCGGCAAGAGAATCCACCATACCTGTGGAAGGAATGTGTACCGCTTGTCTGCAGTAAAGGAATAATAACACTGTCACTTCCAGCAACTCTGCTACTGGCCTGCTTTCCAGTTCAGGCAATTTTTCTGTTTGCTAAAGGTTTGCAGTGTTTCAAAGTTAAGAAATGAATGACAAAGAATCTTCTTACATCTAAAAAGTAATATCCATCAAATGTCAGAAGAAAGAATTACGTGCTCTGAATTAATTTTTTAAGAGAAACATCGTTTTGTGGTGTGTTGCTGTCCAGCCTAGGCTGAATATGGTAGTCTGGGCGAAGTACTGGCAAATGGCCAAACTTGGATATGGGATTGAAAGTGATAAGCATAGTGAAGGGTTGAAACTTGTGTGCCTTTAACTGGTATCACCTTTTCCCTTCTGTTGCTGTTATGGGGACATAGTCCACTGTGTAATATTTTGTGCCGTAGGGACATGTACCCAATGCTACTGGTGGCAAACAAAGTGGATTTGGTGCACCTCCGGAAAGTGACCGAGGAATCCGGCCGGGAGTTGGCTCTCAAGTTGGGAATCCCCTATATAGAGACGAGTGCCAAAGATCCACCCCTGAATGTGGATGCTGCCTTCCATGAGGTACCGTAGCCAGTATCGTGGCATTTGAGCATCCTGCAAAATACTTTTCATTCCTGGTGCTACTGTCAAATCCAAGCTTTATATTTCCGAATCTTAGGTTTCTGTATGTTCTTTTGCATTTATTTTCAAATGACTTACACGGAGCATTGAAGTTAATGGGCCCTTATAAGCATGGGAACAGATCTTCAGATTCCATAGAAATTGGTAACTTCTTGAATAAGCCTGATGGTTATCTGTTGTGTGTGATGGACTGTAGAGATGAAGTAGTTGGTTAATAAACTGCAGGTTCTTCAGTACATCCGTCCACAAATATTATGCCTTTCCTGTGGCTGAAGGCTTCAGACATTGTCGTGCTCCAGTAGGGATCTAGGGATGGAAGCATTCTTCCACAAACTTTTGAATTTACAACCACAGTTTTATCATTCATGAAGTGTTTATATCTTTGTTATTTATATTCTTTGATATCTCTTTTGGTAGTTTATACCCAGGCACAGCAGATGGCTGGAGTTGTATATTTCAGATTAAAGTGTGTGTTTCTATTTTAATCTTTATGAAATTAATTTGCAGCTCATAAGACTGATTGCAAATGAAGATGATAAGGTAGGGTTGGCCCATTCACACCAGAAAAGTCGTTTCCTGTTTGTATGTTTCTTGCGCTAACCAGTGGAGGATTCTGACATGCACTTGATAGATGTGATGTAATGTGTTTTAGACAATCAGTTCATTTAACATCGCTGTATATTCCAGGTCGTGCGTATAATTCGCTCACAACCACCGGAGCTCGAGAAGAACCGAAGGAAAAGAAGACCGATAAAGTGTATGCTGCTCTAATGTTGCACATGATGCTGATATGGGGGTAAACAAACCGTGCTCACTTGTTTTTTAAATGTCAAATTTTAACATGAAATTAATTTGTGAAACATAAACGCACATTTAACGACAGTTCATCTCACAGAGTCATTATAACTAGAGATGATTTTCGTTAACTTTGATGGCTGTTATTGCGAAGTCTTAGTATTATACCAGAGCATGTCACTCAGAGTGAATGACAGCTGTCCACCCAATGTCACATTCAGATGGTGAAGTTCACTGTTGAATATGATAGTCTGTGTTTGATGGGTGGTTTAGATTGCTTCTACATGTGACAATAATATTGTACTGATGGAATTTAAATTGGTTACTTGGTATCTTAATGAAGATATACAGATGTATATGTGTTTTCATTTAGATGTATCACAGTCTCCGTACTATGTTTATCAGTACAATATGTGTATTGATGTCTGACTTTTCTGTACTTTAAGCTGGAAGTCAATTTGATAATACTGGGTTTTGCTTTTAACACATTCACTGCAAATCCCATCACCTTACCAGGTGAAGTACCAGTTGTATCAGGTGACCTAAATGTAGATAAATGTTGAAATGCAGCTTTCAAAGCTTGAAAGGGTCAAAACATTTTGAATATAGAAAGTTCGGAAAATAAAATCCCAGTTTGGAAGCATGACTGTGAATGGGTTAAGGGCAGAACTTCTTAAGCCCTTCTTGTATGTAATTTTTTATTTGTGAATACAGTGTGATTATGTACAGGTGATAAGTCCCAGGTAAGGGGCCATGCATATGCTGGCCAGGCTTGGCTTTTTGCAATTGTTAGCAGAGATGATTTGTTTTTATCAGTGGTATCTCAGTGCAGGTGTATTCATCCTGAGGTGAAAATATCTGTGGTTGATGTGTAGCACATCAGTGCTATTTTTTTTCCCTCTCTAAAAACATGTTTACTGGTCTGATGTTTGGTTTTAGCCTTAAGCTCAAAACTTGCGATGCAACAGCAGATGTACCTGCATCTACCAGCTTAAAAAGAGCACTTAGCAGATCCACCATTTGAAGGTTAATGGGTTGCTGGCTGTATTTTAATTATTTTGTTTATGAAAGATATTTATATTGTTATTAATTGATGTTACAAAGCTTTAAAGATAAATGTTGAAAATTTTATGCTGTAAACCTTTAAGTGGTGCTTAATTTATTTATGCGTCTAATTAGTGCATGTGTCTGTGACAGAAATAAGCAAAGATTGTGTTGATAATGACATAACATGAAAAAATTATGTGTGCATGTGTAAGAAGATCGGATTTTATGCTGAATTTGCTGACTCATACTGTTTGTATGTGTTTGTAAGATGACTTCCATTGGAGTGGAAAATTTTAAGGAAAAATAACTATTATTTGGGAAGTCCTCAGGTTGAATTTTCATTGGGACACACTGATTATCTTGACTGTGAAGTTCATAATAGTCCTCATGAGTCCCTCCAGGCAAATGACATTATACTATCTTAAATTAGACTAGGGGCATTAAGTCCCATATTCTTACTCATTATTAATTTACTATTATCGAATCATTTGTCACTATATAGTCTTATTTACTGACAGCATTGTTCAGTATACTATAAATAAATAAATATTGAAATCCTTGTGTTTTTTCATACTTCTCAGCCATTCGCAGGGTTAGTATGTTGAACTGAACTCTCTCACTCACCAACCAGATGTTTCACGTCTCTTTATTCAACTGACTGCTCTGGAACTCAAGTGACCCTGTTTGTAACTTTTCAGCACAAATCACATAGAAAACTCCATTTCCATTGTTACAGTCCAACAATCCCTTGACTTTTGCATGTGTATCCGTTGCTGCAGGAACCAGTTTACCGAGCATTTGCCTACCAATAGCCCAGGTATTGTTGCTGTGTTTACTTGCTCTTACCAAGCAACACATCTTCCATCTCGTGATTGTTGCATAGGGACGATACTACATGTTACAGTACCATATATCATAGCCAAAATACACTGAACAGTGTGGTCTAGTGGTAACACTTTAGATATGTATGAAGGAAGTACTCACTTTGAATCCCAGCCAGAATAGTGGGTACCCTTCAGGCAAATTCAGGAGTATCATCTTGAATATGCCGTGGCCACTCCTTTCCAAATCCTTTCTAATTCATCAGTCGTCAGTCATCCTGACATTTAACTCTGTATACCCTAGATGGTAACAGTGTCATTAAGTAATGAACAAACAAGCCCAAACATCTGTTTGTAACAATTAGGAATGATCAGTGCACATCTGGCAACTTTGGTAACTTTATGGTATTGGTATGACTATTGTCATAGTGGGGGTAACTATGGAGAGGGTATGGATTAGATATTGGGTTTATTGACCACTTATACACACCACTACATATAATTACAGCGCTACTGCTGATCTCCATTTTACAGTTCACTGTTGCGCACACACTAGGGTTCTCAGTCTTCAGTAGCCGTATCCTGGGAATGGATTTGAACACAGCAATTATACCCGTCTCACTGAATAACACACTCCATATATCACATGTAGAGTCTTCTCTTCACAGGCTGACTGAAATGTCAGCTGAACTCATTGCCATCTCTTCTCAATCATCTTCGGCTGCCATCTCAAGACCCCCTCATTTATTATATCTCACCTGGCCTGGGATCCTTGTTATGTAGCCTCATGTCAGCCTCAACAGAAAACACCATTTCCTTACAATTCCTCAATTGTTATAGAGGTGTGTTTACCTCACCATTGCATAGAAACATCAGTTCTTCTGTTGTTGCATACTCGTATGTGTTCATTTCTGTGGAACCTGTTTACCAAGCCATTGCCTAGCAGTGAACTATTTTGGCTTTCAGGCATGATATCACAGTATATTTATGTTCCAAAAAGATACTGCTTCCATATTCTAACCAGTCAGTGCCAGTTGAGGCGAGCCCTCCGGCACAAAGACTGAAGATCTTATAACATGGTGCCTGGTCAGGGCTGTTTCACACCTCAGGGGATGATAGACGAGTGTGAGCAGTAGTGGAATGATGATTAGCAAAGGAAAACCAAAGAAGCTCTGAATGTACCTCCATCAGTGCCACATCTCCCACTGACAAAGACATGCATGACTGACCCAAGTCTGTGTGCTGAGAAGCCAGTGTCTCACCTGGCCTGAGCTATGACGTGGGTTGACACCATACTTTTGAATGCCAAAGAAAATAGAAATAAACTGTTGACTTATAGTCAGATAAATACAGTATGTTGGAAGTTCAGTTTGTTGTTGGCAAGATTTTAACTCTCCTAAGCCCAGATAACAGTGGTTAAATTGCTTGTCAAACTGGAAGGAAGGTGAGAGAGATTGTTAGTCTGCAGGCAAAGAAAAAAACATTCAGCATTTGAGCAGTTGTGGAAACCAGGATAGCTTACTCATAGCGACTAGGCTTCAAGCTGGACAACTGCAGAATTGGGGTTTGATTCACTGCAAGAACAAGAGATTTTTCTCTTCACAACATCTAGACTGGCTCTGGGGCCCACCCAGCTTACTTTCCATTGGGTACAAGAGTTATTTCTCTGGGAATATAAAGCTGATCATTAACCTCCATCTACTGCCCAGGTTAAGAGTGCTTGGAACTTTACCTTCACTCCTCATACACCTTCATGGTGTGGTGCTTAATTAAATACAGGATAACTTCACTGTTCTTTTATTTTACCAAGCAGATGGAGCTAAATTTCTTCTGGGATGTGATGCCATATAGTCTGGTAGAAGTATACTTGTTTCAGAGGTCCATATTACCTCCATCTTAAGGCTCGAAGAGCAAGCCAAGCAGCTATCAGCAAGGAGAGGTAATTCTGCTTGCCACTAACCTTCTGTTAGGCTACATGGCATGACACCCTAGAAGATGTAATCATTCATATTCAGTGCTATAAGAACCTCAAGTCTTGCACAGTTGTAGTTAGGTTACACATTTTGTTGCTATGTCTACTCGCTTCTCAGATGCATTCTTTTCTTTGCCAGTGCAGTAGCTTCTCCTCTCATCACTTCTCCTGTTTGTCAAGCACTTTGATTTATTCAGAATTAATTTTTAAAATTGTATAATTTGTCTGCACACACAGTTACATATTGAAGTTAACACAGTGTTGATAGAGTGCGTAGATGTATTAGGCACCTTGGTTGACTGTGAAGTGATTTAAAATTGTAATGACAGTGGAAATCAGAGAAAAGGGTCTTGTTGACTTGTGTGTCATTGGAACTGGTGCCTGTTAATTCTGTTTCTGTTTCACCATTCTTGCACTAAGATTACACTCTTTTGGGGTGTGATATAGTGTAATTTGGTAGATAGGTAGGTACATATTGAGAACCGCCATTTTGAGAGCCATTCTGCTTCTTGCTGTCCTCCTTTTCTCCCTTTATCTCTTTATTTTACTTATCTGTCTCATCGAATGACAGTGTCACCTCCAACTCATGACCCACTGCAAAATCTGTGTTGTCAAAAGCCTCCTAAATTCATTAATCCTTAAGGTGGAAATTGCAATGTTAGCCAAAACACTGGAAAACCAGCATTCTGCATGGCATATTCTTGATGGCTGAAGTCTTACATCATGCAGCTGTGAAAATCTAAGCATAAGAATTATCTTTATTGCATTTTATTCTATTTTTTTCTCTTTCATTCACCTTCCTTCTTCCATCGCTTATTTTTTTCCCTGTTGGCATCTGCCCTATGATAACAGCTGCTTTAGAGGCCCAACGGTTTCTTTTTGTTCAGAATTAGACTCAGCGTATTTCCTCCATTTCCTGATTCATGCTGTTTCTCCTCATTTGGTATACTCTTCTACCCTGAAGATGGAGGGAACATATTCCTCTGAAACATTGGTATCTATCTACTGCACTACACTATGTCACATCTGAAATGTGGAGTAAGAACTTAAGACCTCATGCAGACTTATAACATAAGAATTGATTATTGTTCATACAAAACAGGCCACACAGTAAGGAATGTGTTGGTGTCTGACAGGCAAAGAACTGTTGCAATGTGTAGTGGCATATAGACTTGTGTCCTCCTATGTCATAGACTAAAACAGTTGAATTTCATTGCTTTTATTCTCTATTGTTCAGACACTTTCATAAATGTTAAAATTTGTAATAAGCATGACTGTTATCATGGACATTGTCTTGAGTTTTTTCAAACATGTTTTGGAAACGGATCAGGTTTCCAAAACATAAAGTTTTACAAAATTCAAGACAGTGGACACTGTCAGAAATAAAGATGATAGAAATGTAGTTTATGTTTTGTTTTGGCTTTTGTTCTGTACAGAGTGCCAGTTTGTATTACTGATAATGTTTTCAAATTGTGGGCACTACCAAGATCTTTTTCCAAAAGAGGGCAACCAGAAACTTTGCTTACAAATGTATATGCAAATCAATCAGAATGTTTTTACAGATCATGTTAGAGTAGTGGGTCTGTATATTGAAGCATAGATGGTTTGTTATATTTCCTTCTCTTTTTTAATGTGATTTTTTATTAAAAATCCAGGAGGGGACAGATGCCGTCCCCCTTTACCCTGCCACCATTTTTCAGACTGAAAAAATTACCTTTCTGCACAATGCATGTCGTTTTCACTTAGTTATGGTTTTTAACAAACTGTGAATGTCGCCCAGAAAGTAATATTTTTCACATCCTGATCTTATTCGTAAAGCACTGAAGAAAAGTAAAACTTTCCCATACAATTTGCCAGTTTATTATCCACATTGTCAGAAACATTTAAACTTAGATAAAATTTGTATCACATCATTTATTGCAGCACAAATTTGTCATGAGTTTTGATTAATAGATGATTGTATATTACTGTGTTGCATAATATATTTTAATAACAGTTTTATTGCTGTAAATTTTGACTGAGTGATATGAATATCCTTGCTTGTTAAGTATGAACTTTTATTAAATATATCTTTGCAGTTGTATAATTTTGTTTTAGTATGACAGCAGGATGGTTTAGCATAATGAGGCATAGTAAATTAGTAAAACATAAAATTCTAGTAGGTTTTTGTGTTTCATTTGTACAAATCACACAAGAATTTTATGTGATTTGAAGCTTTGATGGCAGTAGTAGTATTCTCAGGCAGTCAGCTGTGTCAGCATAGAGCTAGTGTCCATCTTGTTAGAGATTTCTGTACTGATATGACATCAACCCTTGATGGTGGACATGTAGATGGTTTTCAGAATGTTAGATGCTAACTCCATATTAACATGGCTGTTGGGCCAAGAAGACTTCATTGTATACATAAAAAGTTCTGCAAAATGTGGAGGTTATGTGTGTCCACCCACATGTTTAATTTCTTAAACTACTCAGTGGATTTCAGTAAAATTTAATAATTTGATTGTTCGTAGATTGTGGTCTTCTTCCTGTTGGCACTTTGTAGTCTTGTAAATCTAGATAAAGCTATCCCTGTAACAGGCCTTGGAGGCCCATAGTGTTTGATGTCAAGGCTCTCACATTTTCTAGACAATTAGCTCATAGATGGTGGTGAGATTGTCAGACTAACACACTGGCTGGCCACCATTTACCCCCAGAAAGACTCCTGGTACTTATTTCTTCTAGAGGCTGATTCGACCCCAGGTCCATAATGCGGCTGGAAGGATTATGTCAGTTGAAAAATCCAGTGACCTCTTTGGGAATTGAACGTGAAACCTTCTGCCATGTAGCATAGTGCCTTAACCAGCTATGCTACTGCATGTCTCATTCTTGTCGATGGAGTACTGATATTTTGGGGAACATACCACCTTCAAGACTGAAGTGAGTAGGTCGAGGAATTTGCTTGGTTATATAGGAAGGTGGTACAGAAGGAATAAAGCACTGGATCCCATCCCTGTAAAGATCTGTCCATTCACAATTCTCAAGGTCCAGTTTTTCCACCTGTGAGAAAAGTGTATAGGTACCATGAAAAGTTATTTTGAACAGTTTTACTTCTCTTTCTGAAAACAATATTGTGCTCCTTGAAAGGGCTGTCTTCACAATTCTATTTCCTACATGAACAAAAAATTTGTTGTGCTCCTTAGAAAGCCTGTCTTCCTGTCCACCATTACAATTGGCCTGGATCGAATTCCATTTCCTTATGCCTTCCTTGGGTGTCAGGCACTGCCTTTCTTTTAATCTGCATCATAACCGAGCTAAGTCTGAAACCTACACCCTTTGACCCTGAAGGTGAAGGGTGCATGTTCCTTTGTAACATTGTTGTCTGACTACAGGACTGCATAGGGTCACACCAAGAAGACCACACTACCCACTGCTGTGATAACCTTAAAACATATTGTTATTGAATATACCCTAAAAGTTGTTGGACAGAATTTTAGTTTCCATGCATTTGGTTGTGAAACTTCATTACATGAAGCATAAATTGAACTTCATCACGTTTCACAAAAGTGGGTCACCATACAAGGGGAACAAAGTGCAGATCTCATTAAAATTTACAAGTTTTAGTAGAAGTTGGTATTGCCATTGCACAGTTCGTATACTGAATTCATAAGCACCTCTTATCAAATAATGATTATCTTG